AAAGATGTATATAAATACTACTTCTCATGAAAAAATTGTATTGATCCATACATTTTTTAAAAAGTTATAGCACTTTAAAGTAAAAAATGTAAATTATAAAATCGAAAATTTTCACACAAAATTATCATTCGGTAGCCGTTTTCACCATGAAGACAAGTCCAGAGGTCAAATTTTTTTTTTTCAAATTAAAGTACATTACATTAGCTTTAATTTAAGATATATATAAATGTGTCAGACCTTCAGGAACATTTTCAAAAGTTATGTTGAAAAAGTTAATTTTTTGTGAAAAAGTTGTCATTTTAAATCCCCCCCTGTGGGCAGGTTAAGTGTCAAATTTACAAAAAAAATATACCAAATGATAAGTAAAGACATCAAGCATCTATAAAAAAAAAAAATTATGTTCATATGTTCATTTTTGAAAAAGTTACGGCAGTTTTTAGTAAAAAAAATTGAAAAAATTTCGAAAATTAGCGATTTTTAAATTTGTAATTTTTTTGGNAAAGTATATTACATAAGCTTTAATTTAAGATATATATAAAAGTGTCAGTCTTTCCGGAACATTTTCAAAAGTTAAGTTGAAAAAGTTCTACTTTCTATACGCATTTTAAAAGGTTTGCACCCCCCCTGTATAAAGGGAAATGGTCCGATTTTAAAAAAAAGTATGTCGAATGAAAGAAGTATATATAAAGTATTTATCATTAAAGAATAAAGTTGATTCATGCATTTTTTAAAAAGTTCAGCTTCGCATCGAAGCTAAAATGTAAAATATAATATCAAGAATTTTTTCAAAAAAATAGCATATTTTTGCATACGGTAGTAATTTTTACCATGAAGACAAGTCCAGAGGTCAAATTTTTTTTTTTCAAATTAAAGTATATTACATAAGCTTTAATTTAAGATATATATAAAAGTGTCAGTCTTTCCGGAACATTTTCAAAAGTTATGTTGAAAAAGTTAATTTTTTGTGAAAAATTTGTCATTTTGAATCCCCTTCCGTGGGCAGGGAAAGAGTCAAATTTATAAAAAAAAATATATAAAATGATAGGTAAATATCTAAGATATCTATAAAAAAAAAAATTATATTGATTCAATCATTTTTAAAAAAGTTATGGCAATTTTAAGTAAAAAAAAATGAAAAAATATCGAAAATTAGCGATTTTTAATTTTGTAATTTTTTGGGGGATTTCCCCCGTTTACGGGGAACGAGGAATTTTTTTTTAATTTTTGAGGGTAATGTCTTCAACTAGATACGATTTGTGATCTTTTGACAAATTTTTCATCAAAATCGGTTCAGTGAGAGCTGAGATTGAGCGTATACAGTCACAAAAAAAAACACATTATAGTAAAATTAATACCTTCTCAGCTTCGCATCGAAGCTAAAATGATATTTCTGTAAATAAAAACATTTTTAACACTCACTGTCGTTTGGCGCTTCGCGTAGCTCTGTTTCATGATCATCTAATCCTAAAAACATAATAGTGTTCACATTTCTCAAACCAAAAAAAAAAAAAAAAAAATTAGATCTACCTTCATTTTTAAAATTTGATATTGTTTTTATAAGTGGCCATGTTGATCCACAAACCCCATTAAAATCATCTGAATCTATTGACCATAACATGACACCTCTTAGACCCTGTTTTTCTACATATCCTAACTGAAATATATAAAAGATAAGAATTAGTCATTATTATACTAATATACTTTCCACGAGGCTTACTTTTCTAATCAAACTATTAGAGTTTTCATAACTGATCCATTGGTCATCTCTTACAAGAAATGGTGATCCCATAATATCTGAATATTGTTCCCAATCGTCTCGTTTCATACGCTCACATATTTCATAAAAAGATAAAAATCCTGGAGTTCTAGTCCATTGACCAGCATAACCGTTACCTATGGAACGAGATCCAGGTTGATAGTTTTTAGGATCAGCTAATGTGAAACTTCTCCCAAAAAAAGCTATACCAACTATCAATTGGTTAGGCGCAACACCTTTGTGCAACCAGTACTTTACCATGTGATCCTAAAGAATATTATAAGATGTTTTACAAAGATCTAGTTTTATATCAACAAAAATATACTATAAACAAATTATCAATTTTTTACTTACAACATTGCGATACTTCGAAGACGGATCTATTTCAACCGAACTGTATAATGGCGAATGGTGGCTAATTATTTCATCGCCATCTTTACGGAAATCAAAACTTTTTAGTATAAATAAATCTATGTTGGGAATTATTCTTGCAGTATCGTAATTATTCACAATATGATCGTAAGGTCCAACAACTAGACCCAACAAGTATCCTTTAGTTTTTAGAACACTTGCCAACTCTTCTACTAATAATGGAAATTCTTCTTTTGCTGAATGGTCGATAAATAGTTCATCTATATACAAAACATGTACACTATTTAGGAATTGAATAGGAATTAATTTTATGTTATCTTACTCGTTGATCTCGGTAGAACTTCAGTTAAAACTATACCATCGAAACCATTTGTCTTCAACATATCGTTTGCAGAAATAATGAAATCTCTTCGGGCCACCGATATACTCTCTGGTGTAATATCATTGACGTATAACAAAACACGTATCGAAGGATTTTTTTTTTTTAAGCGCAATACTGATGCTAGTGTACCTAAAGTAAATAAAAATAATTTAAAGTATTTTAAAATAAAAATATTGTGTTTTCATTATTAAATGACGTACCATTAGACTGACTGCTAAAACGATGGTTTGCTATATTATCGAAATTTATACTTTCAGAACTATACAATATATGTGTACAGGACGATAGGATTATGCGTTCTAACTTTTGAGGAATTTTATTCATGAAGTATTGTGTAACATCTACGTGACATATAACATTATCACCTATACAAAAAATAATAATTAATTAAAATAAAAACTTATCATAAGTTGGTATTTTTATTTGAATAAAAATTGTTTATAGAATGTAAACAAACAGTAAATTAGTCTGTTTTACAATACTTTTTATCGATCAATTAGTTTCATAGTTTTTTATATTTACATAAAATTTATTTAAATTTTCATATGATTGAGTTAGCAATCTGGGCATTACTTTTGCAAAATTTACAAAATTCAATTATTAAGGTTATATACTATAAAGTCACAATTAAAGTAATATAATAAATGGGAGATATTTTGAAAGGGTAAAATTATTTTTCAAAATTAAAAACTAATGTTTTATATAACATTTAATATAAAATTTTTGTAAATAAGAGTGGCTAGGAAAAAATGAAAGAGCCAAGCACCTCTCCCCCCGTTGCAGCTTCTCCAATATAACCCGTGAAAATGGTCTGTATGTTAACAACCTTACCTTCAGATGATGATCGATATCTCGCGACCCCCGAAGTGCTAAACTTTGACGGTAACTTTTCTACGGCATCTCTTATAGGACTATGAGCTTTATACCTAAAATGAAAAATTATTTTATAAAAAATGATTTTACACTTTATTAAAATAATTAAGTTAATTACCTATCAAAAAAGTCTGGTATTCGTTCAACTGCAGCCCTGGATGGCAAGTTACTAGAATACCCATCTTTTTGAACGTTAAAATCGCTAAAAAATGGCTGGCCTCGTGATGGAACAGACAAAAAGATAACGGTTAACAACGTAGTTAGCATATTTATGGCTGAAAATATTTTAAATTATTAGTTAATTTTTTTTTTTCCAACAATATTTTATCTAAATATATTTATTACATATATTTTTACAAAAACATTGTAATCTCGATATTTTTTATCGTAATGTCAACACATTTAATTCGAAAAATACCTCAGACAATTTTACAATACTAAAAATAAATAAATAATAATTAACTTAAATATAGTATTATTTTTTTGTCAATAAATAAAGTAAGATAACATTAACGACAAACGTTAATTAAATTTTGTAAATATATTATTTTTATAACAAATATCTTTTAATTCTAATCTATGTTAGTTGTTTATCAAATTTAATAATTAATACAATAAATTAAGGGATTTATAATTTGCCAATAAAAATTTCTCATTAGATACAATTAAATGGTTGTTATTACCATGTATTCTTAGTAAATTCAGGTATGTTTAAATAAAGCGTAATTCATTTATCAAGAACTTAATAATCAAAAAATAATATTGAACATTTTTTTAATTTCTTTTAGGTATTAGTTTTTCTTAATTTATCAACTATGGAGTATTTTTTTTGTCATCTCTTATACTCTATAAGTGTCAACTTAAATTTTTTAAATAGTAACATATATAATTTACTAGCTTATTTATTACATAATTATTTATTAAGAAAATGAAGCTGAATAACAATTTTCGAACCAGTATTATGGAAGTTATTAACATTTTATAGTGATAGCTGGAGGCGAGACTCGGGTGTTTTTTTATGACTAGTAATTTTCCGGTTATACTCTTCCTCCCGCCTAGTTATAAAAATGACAATAGCTTCCAAAATACTAACCCAAAAGATGTTATCCACCAGTTATTTTTTTTAATTAGATCATTTTAGATTTAATAAACTAGTTAATTATGTAAAACTGTATTTCTCTTATGATGAACATAATAATACACTATGATTTATAAGTTGAGAAATGTGCCTAAAATAAATGAAAAAATATCTTATTTCTATGTTTATTTGATGATTAATTAAGTCGTTCGTAATAAATGAATCACTCTGTATATATAATGATTGTTTTCTTAAACTTTATTTAGTAAAAAATCTCTCAAACCACAGACCCTTATATTGAAAGTAACTCAAATTGAAATTAGACTCATAATACATAATTTGTCAAGAATACTCTTTTTGTACATACAGAATAGAAACAAATTATTTAAATAATTATTGATAATTTATTTATTTATTAATTCACAACTTGCTTAATTTAATGTATACGCCATTATGTATTTTGAATTAAAACAAAGCGAAATTATATTATCAGTATTATGAAATATAAAATATGCAGATATTTATGATGAATAATTTTTTAATACAAGAAATTTATTAGTAATTTAAAATTAAAAGTTAATAAGTGAAAACTCAATGTGTCAAATAAATAAAGACTAATAAACAAATTTGTTAAATATTACAGGATATTTTTCATTTTATTTATTGTACATAATTCCCTTAGCTTCCAAAGTCATTTTACTTCTCTACTAAATGTTTATATGGACATACGTTGTTGTGATGTGACATTCGTAAACCGGTCATCGGCTTATTATATTATACTAATACTGTACTCGCAATTATCAATATCACCATAATATAATAACTATTGTTATGAGTATATTAAGTGCATTGTGTATACTATGACTAGTATGATTTAAATTACTTGGCAATAATGTGACTGTTTACCATTCATGAAAAATCGCACAATAATATTATCGAATTACTTAGCTCAGGAGCGAAACTGCTATAATTACAAATTCACTACTGTACTTTAAAAAGATCTAGTAATTAGGTGTGTTCGTTATTATTTAAGTAATTAATAACATATGGATCGGCGTTTTTCAAGCCCGTCAGGTATCTAACAATGCTCTTCGATTGACAATGGCAATTGACGGGATATCGTGCTCATCACAAAGACGTGCGATCTCTTTAACAAGGCGTGTGCTTTATTTTTATGCCTAACCGTGTCAGTTTCTTGTTTATAAAAACAATAAAAAAATGTGTCATTATAATAGCATTATTTTTTATTTGTGCAAATGCAATTATTCAAAACTAAATAAACAGTACAATAATATTAATAACGTATATATGGAGTTTATCGTTCTTAGTCTATTGTAGTGTATTTTCAACCACTAAAGTAACAAACAAAATTAAGTGATATCAATACACAATGTATAATATTAAACCACATAGTATTAAACAAAATAATATTAATATGTTTATTTTACGATATTATAAGATATGTGATATTTGTTATGTATATCTTAATATATTATTTAAACATTATTTTTTACATTACTATCCAAAATTAAATGATGAAAAGTCTCTTTATTTATAATTTTGTTAATTTAAGTTGTCTGTTACTCTTATCAAAACATTTTAAAAATACTTAACAGTAAATTTTATACTTGTATTTGTACACAGAAATTTTTTTAACAAAAATATGTAAGAAGTTAACGTTAGCCCGATGAACTCACTAGATAAGAAAAAAAAAGTAGAAATTGAAATAATGGTCATGAAAAATTGGAACTTATCTCCTACCTCCAAGCATTATTGTCATCATTAAAAGTTTAAAATATAATGATTTATCAATAAGTCAACAACCTAAGACGAACATTTCAAATAAAAAATATTAATAACTCATTACTGACGCTAAAACAACAGCAATCCTTGTTTTAAGTGTGGAATTTTACATATTTTCAAATTTTGACGTTTTTAATTATAATAGTTGAAACTGATAATGGAGTTTGAAAAGTTTTTACAATTACTTTTAAAAATATTAATAAATGATTAAAAATATGATTATTTTTAAACCAAATAAAATTTGTTTATAAGAAAGAAAAATGTTTAACAGAATTTATATCAATAGGAATAAAAAAAATAAGCAGTACTCTATAGTTTAAGTAATCTTCATGGAAAAATTTGAAAGTGTGTTTGAAAAACTTTATTTTTTTATATTTTCCGAGTAGTTTTTGGAGTAGCCACTTGGAACAAGGAATATTAAATTATTATAATAGTTATAAAAATAATTATAAGTTTAATGTTAAATGATTGTATTTGAATAACATTAATCTTTTTCATTTTTCAAGAAATTTACAATTTATCGATAAATAAAAATCTTATAACAAAAGTAAGACAATTTTTACATAAAAAGATAATCTTTAATAACTTCAATTTGATTTTTTGAACAGTGGCCAATATTTCCTAACATATAAAAATAAATTATTTGACAAGTTTTTAATTGTGTTGGCAATGTATAATATGGTTTATGATTCAAAACTATTAGATATTAAAGCAAACAAACAAATAATCACCTACCTTGATTTATTGAATTTTTAACCATTGTTTCAATTGTAAATTATGAGAACTTATTGAAAAATATTATGAACTTTAAAAATTATGAAAAAAGTCATTCACCTAAAAATTCTATGCACCCGGTAACTGACGAGCACGTGCACGTTTATCTATTTGCACAGCATATTATTACCTATCTTGACCCATCAATTACCAACGGTATACTAAACCTCACCCGATCAGTATATGCGAGTATGTCAATTATTTTTCGTGTGCATGTTTTTAATTTTTATGTCACGTATATTCTCTACGCTGATGACTGACAGCTACTGTCAATGAGACAGTAAAAAACCCATTCGTATTGATTGTATAGATCAACATAATATGAGAATAAGAGAAAAATTACCAGCTAATAAAAATTAGTATTAATTAAATGTGTGTACCTGTAATGATCCTCAAATGTTTATGCCGACGGTGACGGAGACGGCAGTGGTGCTGATTGACTCGTTGCAACATGTCTAGCGAACGAGATAGACTGCGGTGGAATGACACGCTAAGTACACGTTTTCAGCGATGACCGACGATCTTCACCCCGTATGCTGTTAGGGGGACGTCCATATTGATGTGGTCGAAGGTCGCAGTTTGGAAAGGGTAAGCGCTATTCTTCATTATCATTGGTACCTCGACTGTTTTTGTTAGATAAACAATACTAACTATAATTATTGTTCAGGAGGCAATGGAATTATTAGGTACCTTATTAAGAGACTTTGAAGACAATATTTCGTCGATAACTTTATGGACGCTATGCTGTTAAGGTTGTGACAGTAATCTATTTGTTCTACAAGCCGTGGATATTTTTAATGTGAAACTAAAAAAAAATTATAAAAATATTTTCAATTTAATAACCTGCCCTGAAGTGTTCACAGGATTATAGAAGTCTAGTACACAGAGACTTTAACGGGAGTTAAAACATTTCTTTTTTTTTTATGCTGTTGATGTTAATCGTATTTAAATGTAGTATTATTAAAGGAAGTATTGAAAAACTCAAAATAAGATTTAAGATGTTTACTTAAATGTTACATTATAACAAGTTTTAATACAACTACATACAGAAGCTACCTACAAACAAAATCTTGAATACCGAATATAGATAAATAGTAGAAAGAGGTAATAACCTATAATTCGATTTTAAATTAACGAGATTCCATTGATCATCATAATGCACTTTTTTTCGGAAACTGTCAGCGTGACAAACCTTGAAAGGATCGTACAATTCGACAAATAAAAGAGGCGATCATTGTTTTTGGGAATATTTTTAGTATGACCAGTAAATGATAATAGATCGAATAATTTGTGTGATTCTGTAAATAGTTTTCAAGGGCAATTTGAGAATCTCTGTACGAAACATTTAACTTAATTTCAATTTTCCTATAATGAAATTGTAAGTAATCAGGCTCAAACGATTTTCTCTTCATTTAATTAGAGCATTTCTGTAAAAGAAGCATCTTGATGTGAAGTCGGTTGTAAGTGCAAGTGTTTGCAATGGAGTCCACCTTAGCACTGCCATTGTTTGATTATCATAAATACAAATACACGTCGATGGTCTAAAGAAAAACAAACACATTGCAGACATACTAATACATTTTCTCCGAGATTCTAAATTATGTATTTACTTTATTATAAAACATAAAACGCATAATATCGTAATAGCCATGATATAATTACTAAAAATGTCCGTCTGGAGAGTCTGTGACAATTGAACAATAGAGTTTTTTGCAGACATTTGCGTGAAATATCCATAAGTTAGTTTGTGAACCATTATTGTGATAAACTCTTATACACCGTGGGAACTTTTGATTTGTGTAGATTATTTTATCAGAAAAGTAGTCACAGAAATGACTTAAGATAAAATGGTAAATTTAAAGAATGTTAGTCTTAAAAAATTTTCAAATACCTTAAGACCAGCAAAATTAAATTAACATCTGTCAACATTTTTATTCAATACAACTATTTTTTTCTTAATTGTTCTAAAATTGAATGACTAAACTAAAGGGCTCACTAGTTTAATTTTATAAGTTAGAGAAGTTGATGTTAAGCTAAAAAACAAATATTCAATTGACTACATTTAAAAGACATTTTTATGTAATTATCAAGACATTTTAATTATCAATTTGATATTAATTAATAAGTATGGAATGACAATAAACCTAGATAATGATGAATTAACCAATGAAATAAAAGATTTCTAAATTCCTTTAGATTACGGAAGAATATTTTTCAGATAAAATTCGTATAAATAACATTTATGAATGTATAATTTTTTTTTTTTTTACTTCATAATATTTTTATCTTATTCTATTTTAGAATACAAAAAAAATACTTTTTTTAGTTATTTTATACATATAATTTTACAAAATACCAGATGTAATATAAACCTAGCTAACCATATGATGGTCAACAATTTAAAGCTGTTCACAATACAAAAATAATTCTGTGAAAAATTGGTGCATTATTTTTATTTTATTGAGAATTAATTAACAAGCTAAATAAGGAAATTTAAATTTCCTATATTTTAACGCAAAATATTTTTTACTTTAGAGCAATAAAATTTTTTTAGTTTGTTTTAAACTGTTACTATTGTGTTATAAATTACAATTTTAACTAATACTGATTTTTAAAACATAAAAATATTAACCAATTATGATAAAGAACAATACCACATTGGAAGATGTATCACACAATAATCATGAAATTCCAATTAATCAACTTAATAATATTCTAGACCATTTATCTTTTTTACACGCCTGTAAGTTGTTGATTGAAAATATCAATGTTTACGATAAAAACTAAATAAATATTATTTTAAATTGTACGTGAAATGAAAGTACTTTTTTACTAATGGTCATTATTAACTATCAAATAAAAATCGAAAACAATATACTCGATAGCCCGAGGACTTTGTAGATACATTACTTAGTAAATTTATAAGTAAATATTTATTTAATTAATGTAACGCACATTAAAGTTCATTTCTGAAGTAAATTTGTTAAATAGAATAAATTAAACAATGAACCGATGCATTAAAAAAAATCACATAATAAATAAGTAATTACATCTTAAAAACCATCAATGTAACATGTTAGAATAGAAAATGCTCAGAAAATGATATTTTGAAGACAAATAAGTTATATAATAAAATTTGTTCGTGCATTTAATGCACTTTTTAGCACCAAACGTGATGACCATGAAAATACTGAGTATAGATAACAACTTAATGCATTAAACTTATGTCATTTTTTAAGAAGGATATGTGATAATAATAAATTAAGTCAATGAGTTCAAAATTTTAAAACATGCACTTATAAAATCTTAGTTTGTATAATGTAGAAATTTTATTGCTGTTAATATTAAAAATCAGAATTTTGTACTAGAATTAAAATTATATGTTGATTTTGGACTTTTTATATACAAATATAAATTATTTAAGATAATCCTAATGAATAATAAAAAAAAAAAGAATGTCAAAAAACGAATATCATTTACAATTGCTTCTATTTCGGGAAGGAGATTAAAACATACTACCAATGCCTTAGTTTTGAACTATTTTTATATAAAGAATTTTATTTTATCAAGTTTTGTTGTTTATTTGTATTTTATACATAATGATAGTTATTATCATAGTGGGTGTTTTAATTAATTCGAGTTCGAGTCACTATTAAGAAAAATTAAGTATCGTCATCGTTCCAAACACATCTAAATTTTCCAATTTTCCATTTAAGTACAATTTATAATGAATAAAAATAACCGTAAGCAAAAAATAATGTCTAAAAAACCTATCCAAGTGTTTGCATAGGTTTTAAAAGCACTTTTTGTCTATTAAAATTTCCCATGTCGATCATTATTTACTCACAATGCACAACAACACAATATCTATTTAATAATAATAGCGACTTATTGAGACATCAGTTTTGATTACAGCGGATACTTACATGCCCTAACGTTAAATTTATATGATTATGACCGTGTCGTTGTGGTCATCATAATATCCGTTAATAACTATCTATGGAATTTAGTTTGATATATTTTGCCATGCCCGCAGATTTTTTCTACGAATACTCTATTGAATGTTGCGCTAATCAGACAATATTAATACTAATAAATGGAACGTTTATTAAATCTCTTAAATAACAGCCAAGAAAAAAAAACTTAATAACTGTTACGGTAAGCTCAACTTAAACATAAATGTCAGCTAAGTGTTCTAGAAATCCTATTAAACAAAAAAATAATAATAATAATTTGTAATTGTTATTATCTTCTAAATTAACATAACTTCTATAACTGCCAAGTTTTCAAAACAAAAAGATCCAGACCAATTACTGTTAAATTGTTTCATGCATTTTTCTATGTTAATGATACCTTAATGTATTTTTTAGCATACATGTGGGCGCTTTAAAATTCTTCGGGTGATAACCAAGTTATGGCATTAATAATATATAATAAAATATACAACAATTGTGTGTTTTATTTTAATAATAAAGTGGTATTGAGACAAATTAAAACATTGGTCGGTCTATATTTTAATTTATATCTAAATTATAATATACATCAAATAGCTGATCCAATAACTTTGAAACTTTTGAAAACTTAAGACTTTTGTCTTAACATCGGAGTAGTATGCAGACATTTTATAGAGTAGAACACTTGTCAACGCGCCTTGCTCTCTTGTATGATGGAATCATTAGCTTACAAGTTGTACGCAAGAGTCCCGAGATGTCTCAAAAAATCATCTCGAGACTCTTGCGTATGACAAATGTAAAATACGTTATGCATAAATAAAGAACTGGATAATTCAATTGTCATGGTATCCGTGGCCAGTGAACCTTATAGTGGCGATTGTTGAGTTATGCGACGGTGATGACGGCGATAATATTATTTAAACAGAGCCAACGTCGTCAAATGCTTTAATACATAAAGTGTTTAATTTGAAATACTGTTGGTCCGTGTCCAATAATTACACCAATGATCATGACATTAAAATAATAATTGTTGTTTACACTTAACATTTTGAAACGGACGCAGACCTCATACATAACCGCAAGAATGATCTTGAAATTATCTCGGTGAAAATAACGAGCCAAAAGTCATGAAATGATTCATAATTAAGTATTTCATTTGTTTTGTTCAAATCGCCATGATTTTATTATTTTTTTAATTTTGCTACAAACGCAGGATTGAATTAGTAGTACAGCTGAGTCACAAAGGTGGAAGTTCCAAAAAAGCCTCTTCAATAAATAGCTTTATTCTGATAATGAAAATATAAGGAGAAAATCTTCATAAACATTTAAAATTAATAATAAATATTATTTTGATTTAATTATTTAATACATTAAATGAATATGTTAAATTAAAATATCCACAAAATTTGAAATGTAAATAAAGATTTTAAAGTACATGTAATAAGATCAGTTTAACGTTAAAATAGAATAATATTGTTGTTTAAAAGTAGCATTCATATATTTGTGATAAATCATCTTAATTAATCATCTACTATCTTCTTTAAACCTTATATGAATTTGTATTTAAAAAAATAAAGTTACAATGAAGTTATTTTTTTCGATGTATACATATATTCTAAAAAAGCGATGTGCTTCCTATCAACGTTATATAATAAAACTTAAAAAAATCATGTCGAGTGGAGATTTTAATGTGTAAAAATTGCAAGTAACTGTACCAACCTGTGAGGAAATATCTTAAGGTTATAATTTAAGTCAGTGGCATTTACAACGCTATCGATAGATAATTCTACGTTTAAGGCGAAACGACTATGGAACGTTGTTCCTTGTAGGGGTTAGTGTATTGGCTAGGGTAAGAAGCGGTTAACGACACCGCAATAGCGCGCGGACGTTCATGTATATTTTATAAGTAATTTTGTATTAATCAATAAAAGAACAAAAAGGAATATGACGTATATATTAAATTACGGGCATTTACACCGAATGCTTCAATATTATTTTTTATGAATCACTAGGCGTAGCTTAAGAAACCTTTCGATGGATTTTATAGCTCTATAATAAAATTATATTACATGATTAACTTTACTACTAAACAAGCTGCATACGCGCGACTGAATCGAATGTATTGACATTGTGAAGTAAATCACGTGTAGTTTATCTAAAAATTAATAAGTAACGGTTCGAATAATCAAATAAAAATAGTTGTAAGTTATTGTAATAATTGTATATGATAAAAAAATATTATTTTTTTAAATTGAAATCAACAACTTAAGCCTCTCTGCGCGAAGAAGATGATCGCTGTGGAAAATCTAATTTCAAAAAACTAATAAGATTAATAACAATACATTAAATTTAAAACGTCTTAAATACACCGTTATACTTGGACAGACCCCAAAATTGATTTAACTTAATATCGCTATCTCTAAAGTCTGCGAAAAATCTTTTGAACGAATTATTGACATAATAACAAGCAGACATATTAATAATTACCAATACGGTATTTAACATAATAATTTATTATAACGCAAGTCGTTATTAATTTAGTTTGGTATTAGTCATCCCTGTAGAGACCTCGCGAAATGTCACCCGTATCACTACGAATAATGACGACCATTCGATTAAGAATGTCCGGTCTCAACTACAACAACTGGTTTGAGAATGATTTTAAAGCTAGCGGTTTTCGTTTCCATTAATTTATTGCTCACAGAGATCACAGCCATTACATGATAATATCGAATAATAATGCACAGAGTCTTGTGGTCACCTAAGTTTGACATGTGGTTATCTTGTTTAAAAAAAAGAATGGCCATTTAATTACACATACAAACAAATGGAGCTATCATACAACTCGTAAATCGTTAGAGTAATCACCATAACTATAATTGATGAATAATGTTCAGAGTTCTTTGAAATTTTTTTTAATATTATGCATAGTAATATTAAATATAAAAAAGTTATTTTTCAATTTCTGTAAACACATTTTATTATGTAACTAATTACTCTGTCTCGACTAGAAATCTGTGTATTATAATATTTTCTATGCAGCTTAATTAATTGAAAATAGTCCTAATATTGCAAAATCTGTAGTTTAAATTAAGAGGCCGTTTTAAAATTAAATAACGAGTTCATATTTAAAAACTAAGTTAAATATCCTCCAACTTTACACCAGATATTATGTACACTCTTACATAGTAGTTATTTCAATACTTAAGAAAAAAAAGAAGTGAGGGATTTATAACCCTCTGAAAGCCTATAACCAGTATTCAAGAACAACATTTTTTTTTTAATTCTTAAATGTTGATTACTTACAAAAACCGGTCGGTAATTTCTATAAGAAAAATAAGAAGTATGTACATTAATATAATATTTCAGTAATGTTAATGACATAAAAACATTTTTAGGGTTGAAAGAAAATTATATAATACTTTCAATAATCCGTTAAGTCATTGATTACGTAGATGGTTTACAGATATGTTTTCAAAATAAAAATTAATTTAATCCGATTCATAATCAAAAGGAGTTTTAAAAAAACCAGCACAGGGGGGTCGCGACACAGTGGTGACGTGGCATAGTTGGGTGAAGTATAATGATATCAGACAGTGATTAAAATCACTATCATAAAAAACGCTTCGATGCAAATCTTTAGATAGTGTTTAATTATAAAAAAATGAGGATTATTACAAAAGCTACATGATCTGCTATTTCCTTATTTATATCTTGATTAAGATAAAGTATGTCGAATGAAAGAAAGATATAAACATTATTTCTCNTCAGACAGTGATTAAAATCACTATCATAAAAAACGCTTCGATGCAAATCTTTAGATAGTGTTTAATTATAAAAAAATGAGGATCTTGTATATCTTGATTAAGATAAAGTATGTCGAATGAAAGAAAGATATAAACATTATTTCTTATAAAAAAATTGTATTGATCCATACACTTTTCAATAAATTGAAGTATTATAAAGTTAAAAATGTAAAAAATAAAATCCAGAATTTTCACACAAAAATAGCATTTGGTAATGATTTTCACCGTGAAGACAAAATAAAGTCCGAAAATTTTTTTTCAATAATAAAGTATATTACATTAATTTTAATTTAAGATATATATAAAAGTGTCAGACTTTCCGGAACACTTTCAAAAGTTAAGTTAAAAAAGTTGTCATTTTAAATCCTCCGTTGTAGGCAGGTAAAGGGTCAAATTTATAAAAACAATATACCAAATGAAAGGTAAAGACATCATGCATCACTACATTTAACTACGAAATGACATTTATTTTTAAACTCCAAATTTAATAACAGAATACCCCAAAAATGTCCACAATTCGTATAGTTACAATGATCAGACGATTGAATCCCAAACTAATAAATAAATCATAACATTAAATTTATTTTGGGGTCATAACACCCCTCAGAATCCACCACTGAATACTATCAGTTCATTTTTAACGATTAGTACATAATAAATAATGATTAAATATAAAAACAAAACTTGTAGATTTAGGTTAAGGTTGACTATAAATGAAAAATAATATCAATAAACTAAATTCGTCATATTACATTATTTATTATATTATATTGATTATTCGGAAAACGTACTTAGCTAACACATGATCGTTTGTCCTTATTTAACTTTATATTAAAATACAATCGTGTAAGTCAGCTACTGATTACTAAGTATAAATATTTATAAATATCTTCCTATAAATATTTTGGTTTAACAATATTAAAAATTTTATTAGATATACATAAAGGTATACCTTTATGTATCTCTAATAAAATATGAAAATATATTTTCTTATAACATTTGAAATACATATTCTATGTATTTCAAAAAAAATTTTAAGAAAAAAAAGTTTTTTTTTCGATTATATTTTTAAGTTATAAAGGGTAGAAAGAGCTTAGTCCTCCAAAAATTACAATTTTTATTATTGTTAAATTTAATTTGATTCGAAATAAACATCGAAATTGCTTATAAAATCCATATAAAAATCGTCAACAATAAAAACTATTTTGTTATTAGTTATGTTTAGTATTTTATATTAATTAATTTTAATTATATATATTTCTCGATATATTAATTAAGTTTTTTTTTCAATTCATTTTTTATACCTTATAAATGTGTCAAACTATATTTCTTTAATGGTAATATACATAAAATAATAGATAATAAAATAAAATATGACTTGTCGATAACAACTTTTAGAGAATACTTCGGAAGTTAGTAATACTTGTATACCTGGGCGGTAGGGAAGGCACGGCAGAGTAATGCTTTATATTAAAAATAACACAGCCCACAACTGTCTCCACTTTATATTGTATATAGTTTTATACATATAACTTTTGAAATATTAAGTGAACAGTTATTATCGATCGGTCATTTTTTTAATTAGATCATTTTATATTTAATAAGATAATTAAATATGTATGATGTCAATAAAAAAAATAAAGTTGACACCCTTATAATTTATAAGGATGAATTAAAAAAAATTGTTCTTTTTAATATACATATTGGATTGACGTTGCAAAAGTTCTCTTTGAAAATATTTATAACTAATATTTTTTTGTAAAAGAAGAGGGCTTTATATGGTTATTAACTTCTTAATCCTAAAAGACTATTCCGATATTTAAAATACAAGCATAAATAATTTAAAATAAAAATTGAAATAAAAAATTATAAAAATATGAAAAAAGGTAATATTTTTAATTTGGGACTGATTACATATAGAAGATAAAGGTTAAGGGCCAATTTTTTTTTAACTTATAGTACGTATTATAAATTTAACCTAAAATATATGAAAAGTTTAGAATATTTCTTGAACACTTTTAATAGTTGAGAAAAAAGTTTTACTTTATATATATATATATATATATATATCTAGTTTTGAACACCTCTGTATAAGGGAAAAAAGTCCGATTTTTAAAAAAAGTATAACGGTTGAAAAGAACATGTATTTATAACAGGATAATTATAATTACATTTTTTAAAAAAGTAAAGTACTAAGAAGTCGAAAAAATAAAATATGAAATCAAAAATTTTATTACAAAAATAGAATTTTTGTACATAGATAGGATGTCGGAAGACATTTTTTTTATTGGCACACTTGACATACATACTTATTTTACTAAATATAGGATAAAAATTAAACTTTTATTAAACATTTTACAATGTTCAGCTAATTTTGTCAGCAATTTGTCAGTATTTCATGTATAGTAATTAAAAATTTACTAAATCTCTTATTTTTATCAACCATTAAAATAAATTATATTTATTTGATCCACATTAGTAAATTAATATAAAAATAAATAATTTGTTTATGTAAGACAATCAAATTTTAAGACAATTTTAAGTCTTATAGTGAGTTAAACATAAATGAGTTAAAAATAAATTATAGTTTTGAGCTTTTCTAGTTCTTTTAAAAATATATAGAATAAAGATATAAAAATTTAGTAAAATGAGATATTATAGATGAAATGAACTTTTCATAAGAAATAGAATAACTAAATAAATATCTCTAAAGTTAAGAAATCTTATATAATAAATTTTATTTCAAGCACAGAATATTACTAAAACTTAAAAATAACATAACTACAACCAAAATTAATTCTTATCAAAAAATATAATGTATTTTATGAAATCAAACATTTTTATAAAACTGAATATGAAGACTGTCACTTCAGTACCACATAGGTAACTCTTTTCTCTACATATTTTATTATTTATCTTCATTAAAAAGTATTTTTTAATGAAATTTAAAAAGAAATTAAATTAAAAATTTTAAATTGCATGAACAATTAGTTGTTTTACAGTTACAGGGTGATGCAGTAATAAATGTGTTATAACTAAATAATAGTTGAATTGAGAGGAAAAAAAAGTAAATTTATTCAACCCATTCAATATAATAGCGAACATTTTTATCAAACAATCAATAATAATTATTTCTAATGACAAAGTAATAGAATATAAATTTATAGTTTTTACTATGTTTGAATAAAAATATTGGATTAATACCACTAATGTGATGTACAATTATAATAATATTATGTAAAACAATTTAAAAGATTTTAAATAAATATTTAATTAAACCAAAATGTTTAAATAAAAAAGGCAACTTAAAAATATTAACATTATTACATATATAGTCATATGTAATTCAATTAAATATTCATAAAATATTAAATTTAAATTTAATCAATTAGTCTTTGAGGCCAATTCTTTCAACCAACTTGTTAACCAACTCAACATACTGAGTTTTAGCTTTATCAGTATCAATACCTTTTTTACCATTCCATGATTCCCATTTTGCTTTTCCTTTAAAATCTAAAAATCCTGGCTTGGCTAAAATAAAACAACAAAATATTATTAATTACTTTTAAAATATTAATTCAATTTTTTGAAATAGTCTATAAATTTTCATTTATCAATTTATTAAAATTAAAATATTATTTACTGACCAATATTTTATAAAAAATTATTTTCATTAATTAGTTGACTAGTAAGTTAATGAAAACATAGAAAAATTATCTATCTATATATATTTTAGAGTAATAATCTTAACTCCATCATTTCACCTAAGAGGTATCAGTGATTTTTATTTTATTTTATTTTAAAAGGCATTCGAATCAAATAGAAAATATTAAAATATATATTCAAATAGAAAATGTTGTAATGAATATTTTTAAATTACAAATAAAAATATAAATTCTTAACTTAAACAAACTTATTGAAATTTATTATTAACTATAATTAACAGGAAAAAAATTATATACTATTATGATCTTCATTAGACAGAGCCTGGACTAGTTTGTCTCGCTTGTATTTCTCCTTATAAATATATTGAAGGAATTCATAACACTTCACCGAAAGATAGCTTGTCATTTTTGTGTACCTTCCATAATACAAAATTTATCTTAATTCTACTTACCAGTGTTACAATCACCCATAGTAGCCTGCTTATAATAACCATATAGCTCCAATAAATCATTATCACTTGGTGTTTCCTTTAAGTTTTTAACTTGTTCCACGGCTTGGTCAAAAGACTACAATTTACAATAATATCATAGTAAATTAATGTATAATAATATTATTTTGATATTTAGTTCTATTATAATCAAACCATTTAAATAGCTAGACAGTAACCATTTGTATTTTAAATTGTTAAAATCTTATTTGATTAAACATCATTAGTAAATGATATATTAATAAAGCTTATAATTGGCAAAACCCAGTAGTACAAAAAAAAAAAACTTATATTAATTAAAAAATATTCAAAAATAATAAAATTATTAAATCATTGAAAACGAATATTAAGTATTAATAAAATACTCACCATAGTGTGTATTTTTTTAGGGATGAAAGACAACTTAAATATTTATTCTTATGAACTTTAAGAGCCAATAAATTGATAGTAGGCGTAAAAGACAGCACTGAAATTACTAGTTGAAATGATTCGTAAGAATGTAAATTGTTTTGTTGTACCGGGCCACGGTGCAAGGTATGATACGCTGATAAATGATAATATTACTCGAGTATTTGGAAGTCATGTTCGCAATTCAAACGGTACTATTGTGGAGAGGGGGCAATAGCGGTGTGACATTGAAAAAAGGCTATGGTTACACACAGGCGTTATTTAATAAACACACGAGTAAAATGCTTTAAATTATTAAAGCTAAATACACACCAGAAGTTACAAAAATGCATACTTGGTACATGCACTGGCGATACCAGAGACTGCCAAAGGCTGGTTTTTAAATTTCTTTGTAATATAATTCCCTACATATTACGATAAAGAAAAAAATGTTTAAATAAAGTTTTCAAATCACCAAAATATCATAGCATATCGCACTATCCTGTTTGTTTGCTCTTTCGATTTCGGTACATAGTGTCGTCACACGTTTTGATCATATCTAAAGCTAGGACTGCTTAAATGCTATTTTAAATTATTCATAATATTTTTTGATGTTCATAAAAAATACCCGTTCATCACTAAAAAAATATGAAATATTAATAAGTTGTTTAATTGTCCTTCATAGTAAAATGTTTAAATTAAAAATATATTTAAAGTATATATGTATAAGTTAAACAACAATCATTTATTTTAACTAAAGTGTTGTTCTTTTATTTCATCGATCCACAAATAAACCTCATTCAACAATAACAATAAATAAATGTATCTAAGATACAGTCATGAATCCAGAAAGGTGCTAAAAGAACTAAATCTCCATATCCACCATACTAAATCTATATCTTAGAAAAAAATATTTAAAAAAAAAAATTATTACTAAAAAAATGTTTTCCCTATTAACATTCTTAGGTACATCACTGATATCATAATAAAATATAGGAAAATTATTATTATAGAATTTTGTTTAAAATAATTAGCAACTTGTAGAAACTAAAGAATTTATTTTGTTCTCCATTGAATCAATAAAAACTTAAGTAAAGTCGAACAATTTTTAAAAGCAAACAAATAGAATGAAGCTTATACTTCATCTTATGTGTAAGATATAGTTATTCACACTTGTTTAGTTCTTTTATCAATAAATTATATTTTGGATTTTAATTTTTAGGCAGCTTGTCTAAAATTAAATAAGTGTTTAATTTTTGCCGAAATTTTATTTTTATATTAACAGTGCTAGATACTATATTTTATTTAAAAATAGATCAATAACTAACCGATTTTAATAATATAATTATTTATGGGAAAAACATAAATAAACAGTATTTTTTTTTGATATTTTGTTTAAAAAACTATAACTTNCATTAAAATAAATATAAATATATATACACATTTTATTTTTATATGTAATTAACTTATTTTTTAATAACTTTATTATATAAATATTATGTAAAAATACCAACACAAATAAATATTTTATTTTTTGCTTCATTAAAAAAAAAAAATTATGACGTTACACCAGAGACGTTTCAAAAATTTGGCGTACAGAATGTGTTGTCATTCACCACAACAATTTTTTTAAATAATCTTTTTTTTGCTTATTAAGAAAAAAATCGATTATCAAAAAAATGTTAACGCGACACTGTAAAATGTATACATTACCTATCATTTTAAGGGAGTTATTATAACCTTATTATCCACTAAAGTGTGCAACTTACCCAAATTAACTTTCGCTGACCACCCTTGACAACGATACTTGGGATTTTACATATAAAAGGACTTTCACAAAGAAAAATTACTTTCATGTAAAGTATGCTCCTTGTATAGTAACTGGTAAAAGCATGGTTCCAGTTATGACTATAGATAATATAGAGCTTTATTATTTACAAACCTTGTCTATAGCCATGGTGTCAAGTGTTGCAATTATAGAATATTATGGATAAAAAAAGTAAATCAACAAATTCTTATTATTGTTTACTAGCAGAAGCTTTGCTGTGTAAAAATCCAATATTGCCCGGAGCGATTGTCTCTTCTTTGCCCCTCCTAAATATATCAATTCATTACACTTATTCATATTATTAAATAAATTTTAGTATCATGATATATAGTAACTCATATTATTTAAAAACATAAAAATATTTAATTATCATTGAAGTTATGTTGTATATATATTTACACAAATGATGTATATATACCATTTTTTATGTTGATGAGCCAGTTCAGAGTTATACATCTATTCGATGTTAATCTCTACAAGGTAGAGGAAATAGTAAAATATAAAAATGATCTTGAAAATGTGTCATCATTTGACCTAGTTAAAGAATAACAAAACCAAAGAATAACAGTAAAAATGTATAACATAATTGCTGCTAAAGCTAGAATTGTGCAGAGTGTATCAGTGTATGAACTGGTATTTTAGACTGTCTGAATGATATACAAAGTGAACCGTTTATCATAACTCACTCATTATTTGCAAAATAATTACAATTTTAAGAAAGAATATTAGATTTTTTTTAGTTACATATATTTCTTGATTTATGAGTTATTAATTATTTTTTGCATCATTACTAATATCTCATAAGAGAGTCAACTTAATTTTTTAAATAACATTATACATATTTAACTAGATTAAATAATAAATAATGATTAGTTGAAAACAACGTTTGAATCAGTATTTCGAAAGTTATTACGATTTTAAAATGTAGACTGAAGCAAAGACTCGTAGGACATGGACTATAAATTAGACAATTCTCGACTGCCCTCTTTCTTGTCCTGCCAAGGTTCAAAAATAAAGACCAATCTTTAGATAATACAATAGCCATGTAATCATACACACATTTTTCCTAATTAGAAATTTCGTATTGTCGTTAAACATAAATATATAATTTTTTTCTCGATTTGACTAATTAATTTTGAATAAATCTACTCTCTATATTTCACTACAAACAATAAAACAATGAATTTCACCAGTAGCATAGCTATGTTGGAGGCTATAGAAGCTATTGCCCCATATTATTTAATTATTACTATTAACATTATAAGACTAGCAATAGTAAGACTATGTAATATGCCAAAAAATAAGGTCGTTATACCACTCAAACAAAATCTTTAAAATCTTTACTATGACACTGAGTTACACTTAAACTACTTATTCGTAACATATAAAACTAAATTAATTTCTACAAGAGTCATTTGCAAAAAAAATGAAAAATTATTGCAATTGTACATTCTATAAATAAGTAGCACACTTAAAACAAATTTTCCGGGGATTATGAACATTTCAATTAGAGACGATAGAAAAATTTGTTTTATTTACCCCTCTTCCTAAAATAAAAAGCCATTCTTGAATTTTTAGTAGTTTATAGAGAAATATAAAGTGTCATTATAATTATTTGAAATTATAATTCCCCCAAAAAATTAGGTTACGTCATATTTTTAATTAAACTCTTGACCCTGAGAACTTCTTTTAATATGCCTCTGCCTTTAACTATTTCACATTACAAATATTTAGACAATGACACCGCATAGTATCACGTAATTATTACCAAAATATTGTACAAAACTATGTATGAATAATTTATTGAAATTGTAATAAATATTTTACAAATTTAAATAGTCTTAACCCTTTGAATATAATACATTTTGATGATTTGAGCATTAATTTTTGTGATCACAAAAACTTTATATAAATATTAACTAATTTTTAATTAAGTTAATTAATAAGACATTAACAGGAAATTATCATGTCAACACTTAAATTGATTTTCTCTATGGCATAAAAAATCTATTATTTGTATTATTTATACAAACAAAATATTCAATATTTATGACAAAAATCAAACTTTGCGATTATAGTTTATTATATTTTGGTTTAGTATTGAACATTTCTATTAACGATATAATATTAATTAATACAAAATAATTTCATTTTTATAGTAACTAATTTTTAAAAAAATACTAAGTAAATTATTACTATAAAATTTATTGTATGATATCACATTATTGGTTTTTTAAATACAAGAATAAATAATATATGTTGTAACACATATTGTTCATTATAAAATTATTTTAAGTCTTAAAACATCGTTATTCTCTATATTTATGTATTAATTCATTGACTTTTGCAATGTACGATTCTTGAGCTTCTTCTTTGGTTGTGCCTCTTTGTTTATTCCAGTATTCCCACTTCATTTTTCCTTTCAAATCAAATAAACTGGGTTTACCTATAAAAAGTATAACCAGTGTTATTTTCATCGTAAATAATTACGTTAAATAAAGTTCAAACTTACTTGTATTATTATCTCCTTCTACAGATTGTTTAAAAAATCCATAAAGCTCCAATAATTCTTCATCGGTAGGCCTTTTGGTGAGTGATTTGACTTCAGCGGCTGCAGCCTCAAAACTCTATACAATAACAGTTTTAATAAGAATTAAATTATCATAGTAATTTTAAAATAATAATTATTATAATCTATTAGTTCAACCGTACTTAAATTTAAAACACCTTGCAGTGTTTATTTCACGCTTGAAACTTACCGATAAAACTGTTTATGACTATAGAACTACAATGAAAATATTAATGAACGATTCTTTGACCTTGTTAAACAATTTTTTTTCAATGTTTAGACAATTTAATATGCTGTGCTATGTAATACATTGAGGTAAGTATTTTATTTGACTTTGAACAATAACATAATAAAGAATATTGTTTACATACAATACTAATAAAAATATAACTACAGGTAAATTAGTTTATTTAATTTTCATTTACATATTAAAAAAAAATCTTCAATAGAAGTTCTTTATTATAAATTTTCGTTAATCAATTAAATTAGTTGAAAATTTAATTCAGTTTTCACTTTTTGAGAATTTATTGTAGTATTCACAGAAAAAAAAGTTAAGTTGTAAATTCAATAATTTGAACAATATTAATCAAATGATCATTTTGTATGACGAACTGAATTTTATGTTTATTTAATTCGACTAATAAATTTAAATTTTAAAACTACTAAGGAATATTACTAAATAACTATCTCGTAAAAATTAGTTGGAGCACATCATTGAGATTTAAAAATCAGTGTTATTGTAATATTTTTTTATATAAATTAATTTTGTATTTGATTTATCCTAGCAACCTCATAATATGAAAAATGTTTTAAAAATGAATTGTTCATCGATGGGTAATATAGTTAGTTTGGCATCCATGATAAAAAGTAATTTGAAATTCTTATTAATCAGATTCAACATACTTTAACGAATACATTACTGAATTGAATATTGTTACACACTATTTCTATACTTAATTTCTATAACAATAGGTACACTTTAGCAACAGTCATTAAAATAACTAAGATAATGATTTAATAACGGTTAAAATATTTATTACAACCACCCAATGAGATGTACAAAATCAATAATATTATTTGATAAATTATTGGGTACTATCTAAAAATAAAAATAATATTAAGGCATTTTAAAGCGTGCGATTACAGTTTTTAAAGAATGAATATTAACCCTTATTAAAATAAATTCAAATTGATATTAAGACAAGTCAAAAAAAATGTATTACTATTATATATGTTAAATTTATCGTTCAATCATAAAATTAATTAATATATCACAAATAAGAAAAAAAGACAATATTGATATTTTTTTAAATAATTATTAAAACTTTATATTATCAAAATATTATATTTTATCCTATATTTGTTAAATGAAATGGCAATTTTTTTTTTGTCTGATTTATCAAATTTGCGTTATAAAATTATTCATCTATTACGGTTTTATTTTCAATGATTCTGTTATTTTCTTATTATTTAACCTCTAAACCATAAATAAAAATCATAACTATACAAACCATTTTTAACCCAAACAAATATCCATAACATACCTATTTGATTTTAACTTGTTATCAATACAACAAGATATTTTATTTATAATTTATTAAAAAAACACAAATAATAAATTATTAAAATTTGATTTTCATGAAATTATTTGGAAACTATTTTCTTTCAATATTTCAGTTTTAATAACTATTTTACTTTAAGGGTAATTGATAATTTTTATTAGTAAACTATTTCTTACTTCTTGCAAAGTTGTCATGATGTGATGTGATTTATTTTCCGACGCAGTAAGTTTCTCTTATGACCGTCAATTTTCAACTGACAGACTAAAAGTAAAAACTCTAGTAGTAACTAGCGAGACAAAAGAAAAAAAACTGGTTTGAAAAAAATTGATCCTTGCCTTTATATACAGACAATCATATTCTAGGTTGTTTTTTAACTTTAGTATAATAGAATAGCAACATAAATGCAGTTATAATCATGAATAATAAAAAAATATTGATAAATGTAAGTCATATTTGTACGTGTTAAAAAGTTCAAAATAAACGTACTTTTCATTTTAGTTTATAAAACTGAAATATAAACCCTCAGTTACAAAATAATGTTGATGTAAGTCTTACGAAATTATTTTCTTAATGTTAACAATCAAGTAAAAACATTTACCTTTTTAACAAGAGTATAAGATTTTTAAAAATAATTTTAAAATTAAGACATTTTTTGTTTTACGTTCTCATTATTTTTGCAAGGTTATTCTTTATAAAATAACATAATAATCATAAACACAAAAAATACTTATCTATAATACTTCAATATCCATAAATTATATAATAATACTATATTGTTATTAAATTTTTATTAATATATTATTATAAATGGGTTATTTTTAATGTTATAATATATCATGGATTAAGGTTGAACTCGTTTTTGAACTTTCGTTTTGAATTCTGTATGTCAAATTACGATTGAGTTATTACCAAATTTAAAAAATCTGAATCATGAAAAAAAGATGTTTTTTTAATTATTTTAATGCATTAAAAAGTTATTTCACGTAAAATAAATAAAAATAATTATATCACTAACAACTTGCTAATATAATAACATAAAATATCACATTTTTACCCGGATGTTTTACTAAACTGTATCCATTTAAAATAGAAAATGTAAAAATTATCAAAAATTAATATTTTTTTGATAAAAGACAACTTGTTTGGCAATTAATATTAGGCATTATTTTAGAATAATTTTTTTTTTTTTTTTTTCAAAATAAATTTATTGTAAGCATGGAATCTTTTGAAGTAATCACAACACAGAAGTATTTTACTTATGTGGAACTAATTCAAAGATTGACAAAAAAAAAACCCAGCACAGGGGGATCGCGGCACAGTGGTGACATGGCATAGTTGGATCAAGTATAATGATATCTGACAGTGATTAAAATCACTATAAAAAAAAAATGCTTCGATGCAAATCTTTAGATAGTGATTAATTTTAAAAAATTGGTGTATTATTCCAAAAGTTACATGATCTGCTAGTTCTTTATTATTATCCGGATTAAGATAAAGTATGTCAAATGAAAAAGGGATTATTAAAAAATATTATTTTTCATAAAAAAATTGTGTTGATCCATACACATTTCAATAAGTTTAGCATTAAAAAGTAAAAAATGTAAAAAATAAAATCGAAAATTTTCACACAAAAATAGCATTCGGTAGCCATTTTCACTGTGAAGATAAAATAAAGTCCGAAATTTTTTTTTTTCATAATAAAGTACATTACATTAGCTTTAATTTAAGATATATATAAAAGTGTCAGTATTTTCGGAACACTTTCAAAAGTTAAGTTGAAAAAGTTAATTTTTTGTGAAAAAGTTGTCATTTTAAATCCCCCCCTGTGGGCTGGTAAAGGATTAAATTTATATAAAAAAAATATACCAAATGATAGGTAAAGACATCAAGCATCTATTAAAAAAAAAATTATATTGATATGTTCATTTTTGAAAAAGTTACAGCAGTTTTAAGTAAAAAAAATTCGAAAATTAGCGATTTTTATATTTGTAATTTTTTTGGAGATTTCCCCCCTTTACGGGGAACTAGGGAAATTTTTTCAATTTTTGAGGGTAATTTCTTCGACTAGATACGATTTGTGATCTTTTGACGTATCGTTGAAAGAAATCCGTTCGGTGAGAGCTGAGAAAAAGTGGTAACAGACACAAAAAAAAAATAAATAAACACATCTTAGTAAAACCAATACCTAAAATTACAATAAAATAACTCTCTATTTCTAATGGTCATTTTTTTGGTTTTTACTGAAAAATATAACAATTGAGGACCAAGAAAATTTTCTATAGGATTTTTGGCTTTTTTAAACTGAAAAAAAAAGTTAATACTTTTTATTTAGTATTAACATAGATTAAATAGACATATGTATTTAATCTATAGTATTAGGGTGAAACTTAGTTTCTAAACAAATGTCTACTTAAGTATTTTAAGAATTAAGTTTTTATACTACGTTATTTATTTCGAATTTTATAAACAACATTCATTATAATTTGGTTTTCCGAAAAATAGAAAATTATGGCAATTAGCTACATTAAAATAGTAATGTGTTTGTTGACTAAATTATTTTCACTTGTAATAATTTTGTTTTCTGTTAATAATAGTGATGTATTATTTTAAGATTTTAAATAGTTAGATCACAATTATTTTTAAAAATAATTGTAACTCATGAAATTATTAACAGTGTAATAAATATTTAGTGACATGGTGTCATTTATTTTAATACTGCTACTAAAAAAGATCTGATATATACTTTTTTAATTTTATGTAAACAAAACTATAAGGAACAAGCAAAATCGCTTTAACTTAAGTCCTTCAAATAATTATAGACCCAAAACGAGATCCAAAATCTCTGTGAGGCTTGATCCTCTTTTATAGTAACCCTATAAAAACTCATTTTATTTTACTCGCCTCATTAATGAATGGCAAAAATTGCCAAATTAAGAAAATATTCATTCAATTGGTTTTTGGCTTATCATACAAATAATAAATAAAAATAATGTATCATGTAATAATTAAATTTTATAATTAAATGTTCATATTTAATGGTATCACATATACTAACCAAAACTTAACCTTGACAAATTATTATGAATTGTTACAGTATGATCTTTCAATATTAATATCTTATTATATAATAAAACACTGAACATTTTTTTAATGCTAGAAAAATTACATAACCATCTCCAATTTTCAAAAAAAAATTTTAAATAAAAGATTTTGGCGACATAATTTGGAAAAAAAATTAGCAAATAAGACATTGTTATAATCTTATTTTTCTTATCATCTATTATAAATTACCTTAGTATTAAATAATTTTTAGATGATAATGAAAAATTGTATTAACCTATTAAATTCTGATACATCAATATACATTTAAATTCATTTTCTTTAATTTGAAATACTAAATTATAGTAACACATTTCAACCTATTAACTTATAATTTTTATCATAATATTATTAATATTGTTGAAATGAAATATGTATATAAAATTAAAATATTACTATGATGACCTCGGGTAACCAATGTCAAACTAATACATTTTACTATTTACCCTTTATAAATTTTATTCATGTTAATAATCAAATGTTTACTATAATTTTATTTTACTGATACATAAGTAATGCTTTTTATGCAAAACACTTGTTGTGTTCGCCGTAGCTGAGTACTCTTACCTGTGATCTACCCGTGAGTACGACCCAAAAGCCTAACCAATTTCAAAGAAATGTATATTTTTGAACGTTAACATCAATATTTTTAGTTACAGTTAATTTAAATAAAACTATAATAAATATATAATATAATAAACTTTTTATGTTTTTTTTTTACAGTTTATTTAAAAATAATAATATAAATTGAATAATATTTAATGTAAATTTTTTGAACTTTGTGAAGATAAAATAAATTACCAATGTCTGAACTTGAACTAATTTAGTTTTTAAAAAGTAATTATCAAGACACCATTAAGTAACATTATAACAACATGTAAAGACGAGAAGGTATTAGTTTTATCATGATGTGTTTTATGATAAATTTCTTTTGTGTCTTTCATTATTTTTTCTAAGATTTCACTGGCCGATTTTTTTTAACGATATGACAAAAGATTACAAATCTTATCTCCCCATAAAGATTCAAAGTAGCCACTTTTGAATATGTTTCGGAAATACTACGATCTCCAAACATATGTCAAATTAAAGTTTATGATACATATTAAAAGTTGAAAAAAATATTTTTTTCTTGATAACAAAATTTTCTTGTCTTTTATATGTAAACATTAAGTTAAAATTTGTTAAGTACAATTCATCTAATAATTATTATATCAATTAAATGACTATATAAAAAAAAGTCTCAGGATTAACTTTTAACCACTCTCTTTTTAATTTTTTAGAGAAATTTTCAGGGTCATTAGAAAAACATGTTGAAATTGAAGGACTAAGTCCATTCGCATATACCTCATTTTTATATACGCTATTAACTAATTTAAAAAATGATAAGTTTTATATCCTTCTGTTTCCCGAACTTAACATGCTATAGAGTTTTGTGGTCCTCTTTCACATGTTAAGGAGTCATAGATGGTTCTTGGCTAGGCCAAAAATAGATGGGACAAGTATTATAACTGTTTACACCAGAGACCAGACACCATCAATGAGAAAATCAAAAGAAAATCTCGTTCGTTACTCTGGGGATACATACGGTTCTACCCACTGGATCGAACCAACACCTATTAACTAATTAAATAAAATATATATATACTGCAACCTTGTCAACGACCATATCACGTTGACACACAACAATTTTTGTCCGATCACTGAAGTTAAGCAACATCAGGCGTAGTTAGTACTTGGATCGGTGACCGCTTAGGAACAATACATGCCGTTGGTTTGTTTTTTTACTGAGATGAATTTAGGTACAGTACTAACAGGAATAAGATTTTTACTGTTTGGAATTACTAAAAATTAAAACTTCTCTTTTTAAAATTAAACTTTAAAATATAGTTTTTGGGAAAAAATGTGTAAATTTTTTTAATTTTACACAGAATCTTTATTATAACACTATTTTATTGCGAAAACTGTTTTAAATATATTATGTTTAATAGCTAGATAATTGTAATAATACAATATCCAAAATGTTATTTTAGAGATGGACTACAAAAAAAAATAGGACATATATTGTATTTCCTAAACCAAAAATCCATGTTATCTCATAGTAAAAAAAAAACAAATTTTTCGATTTTCCTAATAAGGGCCAAGATATTAATTTGGCATCATGTGTTATTAAAATTGTAAATAATTTCATGTGTGCATGACATACAATTGTATGTGTTAATACTCCTCTACTATTTGAAATTGATTATTAAATACACTTGAACGCTAAGTAAAAAGTATCACATTTTCATTTAAGGAGTAAAATTGCATTATTGTATGTTGTTATTATTATTGCATTATTACTCTCAAAGTTAATACAACATTGAAAAAAAAATTTGTTTCTTATAGTTACTCATATTTTTTAATTTATCAGCTAATAATAAGTTTTTAGAATCATCCCTTATAAATTCAAGGGGTGTCAACTTAAATTTTTTAATTAAGAAAATGACTTGTTTTTAAAAACTTTTGGACCAGCATTTCAGAAGTTATTAACAATTTAAAGTAAGTACTGGTTAGAGGAGTGCGTGCTGCTATTTTTATCACTAATAATTTCTCGGCCATACTGTTAGTCCAGCCAAGGTATAAAAATGAAAATACCTTCCAAAGTACTGGTCAAAAAGTTGTTATCGACCAGACATTTTCTTAATTACAGGATTGTAGATTATTTTCTATTTTATAAGCTAGTTAAACATGTGTGTTGTCATTATATATATTTATATATCTGTTTTAGCACCAATGATGAATTTTTATTTAACTTTAATAATTTGGTACAAATGATCTTTTCCAGACCAATTTTTAATTTTTTTGTTTCGATGCTTAACTGTAAAATGAAAATTAACATATTAACTGTTTATTTCCACAATTTAGCCTTTTAAGGGTAATCAAAATTTTTTATATAAACATTTCAAAGTTCAAAGTTTTATTCATGTCCATATGTAAATACGTTAAATATTATAATATAATATTTAACGTATTTTATATTATAACTGAGGCCCTTTTTTATTCAAACCACTAATGTGTTAAATTTCTTATTTACTTTGATTATTTCTTTATGTTCTACTAAATCTTATCGTAAATTACTTCTGAAAAATAAATTCTGAAAAATAAATAAAAATGTTATCTTGCTTATATATTATAAGGGTACCAACCTTTTTTTTAATTATAACATACATATACAGGGTGTTCAGTAAGTTAGGAAACAGTTAAATTGTTACAAACAATGAGTACAATAGAAATTCGTTTCCTTATTTACTGAACACCCTGTATAGAGTCTTCAGTAAGTAAGAAAACTGGTATCTATTGTTCTCATTGTTTGTAACAATTGACCTGTTTTTTTACGTACTTAACACCCTGTATATCTAGTTTATATAATAGAAAATGATGAACTAAGAAAATGGACCTGCAATTTTCTTAGATGAAGCAGTGAAATATGAACATGGCGATTTAAAAAAATAAAGTTGATACTCTTATAAAAGCTAATGCTAACTTAAAAAACGTTTATACACTTATTAAAAATCAAGAAATAAATTCATTTTTTAATCAGTATTGAGTATTTTTCCTAAATATACCTAAAAAAATTAGTATGTTATACAAGAATATTTTTAATTATAGTTTGTTGTTATTCATTATTAACAAATTAAAAAACTTTTTTGAATACCTAGGAATATTTTTTTGAATTATTATATTAAATGTAAAAATGTTTTTATATTTTATTTATTAAATAAAACACATTATTCAGCCCAAAATAATTAAAGTTGGTGCCCAAACATTATTAATACTCACATTTTGCATTTTCTTTTTTTTTGCAAAGTATTCCTAAATATTATAAACCGTACCAAAATACCGAATACTTATTTAAAATTATAAATTTTACATTAAAATTTTGGTATTTAGAATAATAAAAATACTTCCGGTAAAATTCTTGAGCATTGAATACTATTATTATATAATTGCATAATTTAGCATTATTAATTATTTTATTTAGATTAGTTAAAAATAATGGTAGTATTATGGTTATTGTTATCTACAATCGTTTAAGTTTCAACTATTGAGTAGATTAAAATGTTACAGTTACTTTACTTCCCAGGAATCACAAATATTGTTTAAGATATAACTCTACGCCAATAATTTGGTTTTGATTTAAATGAGGAGGGAATGTTAGAATTTTAATATTTGTAACCTCTTTATATCATTAATACAGATAATTTGGCTATCCGGATTTTACTCAATAGTTTATCTGTACGTATTTTTTTACTTGATTTTTACGCAGTACCCTCTCAAATCGTAATACAAATATAAAGTTATAAAAACATTTTTACAACATAACAATGTTTAAAAATAAAAATTTAAAAAAATGCTATTTGGGCTGTAAGTACAGGTATTTATTAAACAAAACATCTCTAATTATTAATGAGAGATAGAACATGTAAGGGAAATTTAATGATTTATAAATCATAGGGAGTTATCATTCTTCAAAGGTATTTATTTTAATGAAAGTATAACATATGATGTTTTGTATTTAACATTTCATATTGATTTTCTCATTTAAATTCAACTTAATCAATTTTGTGAGGTGATTGAAGTGATCTCGGCTGAAATGTTTAGGGTCATTAGAAAAGCATGTTGAAATTGAAGGACTATTAAAGTTTAATTTATTAAGGATTAAAAAATAATCAGTTTTTTATCTTTCTATTTCCCGAACTTAACATGCAACAGAGTATTGTGGCCCTCTTTCACATGTTAAACAGTCAAAGATCTTTCTTGGCAAAGCCAAATATTTACGGTCAATTATTATAGCCGGCTTGCACCTGAGACTTAAGACCAGACACCACCACTGAGAAAATCAAAAGAAAATAATCTCGTTCGTTAGCCTGCAGATCGAACCCTAAAGCCCGTGCGTCGATACATACGTTTCTATCTGCTAGGCCGACCTATCCTGAAATATTTTCTCGATATTAGACAACAATTTTTTCAATTTACATTTGAACACTAATTTAAACAATTTTATATAATCAGTCAAATAATTCAATTTTTTTTATATTATTTAATAATAACTCTAGATATGCATCAAGAATGGTATTTGTGCTGCTCAAAAGAAGTCGACGAATGTTGCTGCATTGCTAATTTAAGAAAATCATATGTTAATGAACTTTATATTAAACAGATTATTTTAAATTTAGAATTTAACAAAGGTATTATAAAAAAACTTTACTGAACTCTCAACAAATTTAATCTCATTTTTATCCTACTAATTATACTATTCTTTGATAGAAAAAACTGTATCAATATTAGTCTGTACATGTCAGCTGCTTGAAAGAGTTATGAAATTACAATTACTTTTCAAAACGCATAACATAAATAAAAAAATAACAAGACAACTTATAAAAGCTTCTACTCGTGGTTGTATGGAAAATTGCTATTCATCGTCGGGAGTTCTTAAAAATTTAGAAATTTTATATCTTGAAGTTTTGACAAAAATCGAAGGCCTCATGATCTTGGTTGATAAAATTTTAATATACCAAAAGACACAGGATTAATATAAATTACGATTTTTCATTAGTGTTAAAAAAACATAAGCTGCTTAAGCGGTAAGAATTTCTATGTCATCTTTTTAGTGTTATTTACATATTTTTTTTAAACTAAATTATGTTATGTAAAATATATGTATTTTTTGTATTATTTTACCAATAATTAAAAATAACATCCAAAACCTAATTAATGTTCAAAGTATTATATAAAACGAGAGAATTTATTTCTCTATTAAAAAATAGTATTAAAATTTAATTACTAAACAATACTATAAAACAAACAATATCAAATTAATTTTATATTTAATACAGTTTGTATAGTAAATATGAAGTACACGAACTTGTAACAAAATGTTTTTATAAACACTTATCGTTATCAATTCAATAATTCTACAATGATGATCAACGAAACAAGAATGATGTTTATTAAATTATCATTATATGTTTTACATTATGATAATATATTTTACATTATGTTCATTATAAATTTTGGTCTTGTAGTAAAATAATTGACATAGTAAATCTGTTCAATTTTTTAATTTAAAAAACTCTTTTTATTTGTTATTTGTTATTAATTTTAATTTAAAAAGTATAATTTTCGAATAAAATTAAAAATTTTTACACAATCGTGATATAAAAATTTTATTAAAAAAAATTAATTTATACTACCATAGAACCATATACTTTTATTTAACTAGAAACTTTGATATATATATATATATATATTTATGTTGTAATATGGCTTAATAAAAATAATAATAAATACCTTGAATATGAATTGCTAATTTGTAAATATTTCCAAGTGACCAAAATTTGCGATAGAAATTTTATTTATAAATTTTATTAGGCCATTATTATAAAAGAATTAAGAAGATTGTACATAGGAAAAAATGGAGCGAGTCAGCATACACCGGAGGTGCTGCTACATTATGACGTGTTTATCATAAGTTTTATTTCACCGATTGAATTTTTTTTTTTACTTGTTTTAAAACACAATATTTTTTAAGTTTACTTGTATTGTGTTCTATTGATGGAACATTATTGAATTTTTGTTGTTATTGATCGAAAATACAAAATTGTGTTTATATATAATTTTTCATTGTGTTTTTTAATAATATTTTTAAGATATCCTCTATGGAATATATTGGATATTAATCTTTTGTTGTGTTTATCACAAACAAAGATAAGAAGTGATTTTACAGAGGTAAGGAATTCCGATAAGTCAAACTTCTCAAGTGGGGGAATTATCAAGAGCACCATTATTTTTCTTATTCCACTTATGGTGGAAGGGGTTAATATGTAAGATTTTTATTATCTGCATTGAAGTATATTGTATCTTTGACATGTAATTATTTTCATCTATAGGATTTTCAATTTTATCCCGCTTAGGCACTCAATTATTATATAAATTTACCAAGGGGGTAACTGTAAAAGAGTTATTTATTTATTTATCGTATAACTGCCAAGGAAGTTATTTTTTTATTTTAATCATATTAACTTTTTATTTATTCAGTTATACTTAAAAATACAATTTTATAGTAACGATTACAATAATAACTTCAAATTAATATGGAAATAAGGTACTCATTAGCCTGGGCCATGACAGTGCCCAGATCGTTTTTTCGCCTATGAACGCTACATCATACTTTACAAGTTTTATGTAAAAATATGTCTGATATTTTTATAAATAATAATTAAACATATTTGACAAAATTAATTACATTTTGTGATATTTCTTGTGAACAGATAGACTGATTAAAGAGGAGGGGAAGTATTGGTCCAAGCGCGCGAGAATCACCGTAGCTACCCATTTCCCACCAGTGTGACACTTCAGTACACGCTGTGATTCGTTGAGTGTTAACTGTGTGCCGTTGTCGTTTAGTAAATCGAGTGCGTTGAACGATTCGAATTTTGTTTATGAAAACATCAAGGTGATAATTCTAGACAATTTTTCGTTACAAATTTTGTTATTTAGTGTTTAAACATGCCTGTAACTGCGGATTACCATAAGGATAACGATTCCATTTGATAGACGTGTATATACACACTTAAGTCGTTCATCAAATATAAAATACAGGTACAAACTGTCGTTGAACGTATAATTTATAAACCTTAAATTCCATATAGATAATTGTAATTACTAATGAACTAGTCGTGGATAGTTGTTGCGGGGCACTAGAAAATAGTCGTTGTGGTTAACGTTTACCAGAAACCTTGTATTTTATATTAATTTTCTTTTCCAGTTTAAATTAGAGCAATCCCGAATTCATGTAATAATAACTATTTTTAATTTAAGATTTAGTGATTCATTGACTTCAAAATAGTCACTGGCTATTTATTATAGTGTAATTTGACCTAATATTATTACAAAAACTAAGTATTCTCTTAAAAATTTGAAAAGTTTGTTTTTTACAGGTAATCATCAAAACAGCATAGGATAATTTTTATTAAACTTCACCTACATATCTATTTTTACTAACCGAGTCATGTGTCACTCACATTATTATCTTTGATTGAGTTCTAAATCAATTAAACTGTTTTTTTTTCAACAATATTACCAACTCAATATTTTATACTCGAAAAAAAAAATGTGTTTGATAAAACCTGTACTCAAATTTCTATGTAACATTATAATTCTAAAAATTTAGATGCTATCAATTAAAGAACACATTTTTACGCATAACGCAATTTGCAGTTATCAATAATTAAAACACAGCTTTCTTACACTTGAGTATGTCTGTATTATACGCTCAATGAACAGCAAATAATTTGTTTATATTTTAATGAACGTCAATTTAAGTGTAAATATATTAAAGATGAACTGGATTTAAAAAAAATATCATAAGTCATCGATCACTTTTTAATTAAATTTTTTTATTCGCTATCATATTACAAAACTACGTACAATTGATAAATTAGAGGACACGTTTTTTGCTCGATTATGAGTAAAATGATACATTTATAAATTTCAACTTCAAAAATAAAACACAATCCTATAAGTAAAAAAATTTTTCATTGGATTCTTATCATAATAAAACATAGATTACAATTGTAACAACATTAAAAACTCTACTTCTTCTTCCTCGCCTTAATCCCAACTACTTGGGGCCGGCCACCCTTATCCTAAACTTCCACTTGACACGATCTCCCACATCATCTACGCTCTCATCAGCTGTCCTCAAATCGCATTCAATAGCATCCCTCCATCTCTTTTTTGATCTTCCTCTAACTCCTCTTCCTTCAACATTCATTTCTTTAACTGTTCTTACAGCTTCCGATCCTTCTCTCCTCATAACATGACCAAACCATCTAAGTCTATTTTCTCTCATCTTATCCACAATTGATGCTACACCTATACTCCCTCTCATATACTCGTTCCTTATTCTATCTTTTCTAGTCACTCCATTCATCCATCTAATAATTCTCATCTCTGCTACACTCATTCTCTGCTCTACTCTCTTATCAACCCAACCCAACACTCTGAACCATACATCATAGCTGGCCTTATTACAATTCTAATCTACCTTTCAACCTCATTGGAATTCTTTTATTGCATAAGACGTCAGACGTCTTTTTTTTATGATAAACTTATTGAATAATAGTTGAAATATATCCCATTCGTAATATCCAATTGTAAATGTATGTAATTTAAACGTGAAGTAGAAAATTAAAATTACAAACGTCTATAAATACTTTTTAGAAATATAAAAGCATTATAAAATAATTACAAACAAGTATAAAAACTATATTATTTAATCGTAATATATTTAATTCTAATATTTTTACTTTAAAATCTGTTCCGCCAATTTCGCTTGATTTAAATAAGTCTACAGATCAAACTGATTTGTTATAAGAACATATCTCATTTGTAAAAAATAAATAGATTAAGTGATTTTTGATTATATCTTGTGTTGATTGTGAAATATTCTTTAGCAAACACTACATAAAAACATTCCAAACTTGTATCATAGTACTACATTTTGGTAACAGTGTAGAAAAATGCACTACTTTCAATGTTGACATCGTAAATAAGTATAATTTTTACATTTGAGATAACAAAGTTAAGGTTTATTTGGTTTTTATGTGTAAACGATTATGCTCACGAAGTAAGTGCGTTAGATCTAATGATAGATATTATGGTACACAACATTTTTTAAAATGATATGGAGTTGGTTTCATTATTATTTTGATAAACCGTTTCATTTCCACTAAGCTAATTCGTTGAGGAAACAATAAAAGTCTTAAAAGATAATGTGGGTAGTTTTTTTTTTCAATACCTGATATTTGAGTAAGCTAATTAATGTCTTCTTAACGCACGTGCCTTACGATAATGAGAAAAAATGTATTTAACACAATTAGGAAGTAGGACGGTGATATGCCATGTTGGATTCTATAATTAAGTAACACTCGGGGTCTGGAATGAAAACACATCTCACAATAGTTCTATATTGGAAACTAGGCATCTGGAGTTTGATTTTATTACTATGCAAAGACTTGAATAGTTAAATTGTTTTATTTTTGTGCATACAATATGTTTAATTAAAATTCGATATTTGAATTAACCATGTACGTGTATTAATCGAAACTTACGTGGTGACCCAATTCACAACCGGTAAGAGGAAACCATCAACAAGTCCAACGAATTACAATATTTCAATAAATAGGCCCAATGACTATACATTAATAACAACGTTCAATGTGCTCTCTGTATGTGTTCCGGCGGACGTTAACACTACACAAGCGAGTCGTCAACTTGCTTAGATAATGTAGTAGACAAGATAACAAACAATAAGGTTATTAATTTTTTTTTGATCCGGTTTTAAGAATTACGGCACAAACGGGTTACATTTTTACTCGCAAGTTTAAAAATTACTTTTTTTGGCATAAATAAAAGAAAATGTTTGTGCTAAGTAAACAATTACATTCTAAATAACCCAGTTCAGGAACTTAGACAACTAATTTGTTTAGTTGTCCTGTTATTTTTTATNTTTTTTTTTTTTTTTTTTGATCCGGTTTTGAGAATTACGGCACAAACGAGTTACATTTTTACTCGCAAGTTTAAAAATTACTTTTTTTGGCATAAATAAAAGAAAATGTTTGTGCTAAGTAAACAATTATATTCTAAATAACCCAGTTCAGGAACTTAGACAACTAATTTGTTTAGTTGTCCCGTTCTTTTTTAATGCCTTAAAGTCGACAATTATTAATTGTAGCCAACCCGCATTCCATTCCACGTGTTCACCAAGACCATCGATTAGAATCAGCTCACAAACAATGCGCTCGCTTCAAGTCATGATGTTTTGTACAATAACTGTTCATGAAAAATAATATAGAAAATTGATTCATACGTATTTGTAATCGAACATTTCTTTTCTGTTTAAGAAAATCTTTTGTCTAACACAATTATCATCTATCGAAAAACAAAGACTTGTTTTTTCAACATTTGCAGTGCATAAGAATGAATTTTACTTATGTATAGGTTACCAAAAAACTAATAAGAGCATAAATCATGATAATACTAAAAAGTTGTATGGTGGCTTTATTTTTTTTAATGAAGCGGTTCTTTTTAGTAAAACGTCTTAAGAAATATTGCAGAATCTAATTTTACGGAAACTTGCATTTAATATATTATAGAAAGCGAGAGTGCTGACTGTTTCTCTATCTCATAAGCTGAATAACTATAGAACTTAAGTCTGGGGGGTAGCATTCGCTTTCACCCACCGGATGAGTCACGCAATTCCTTTTTTTAGCACCAACTCAAAAACGGGAATGATCTCTCACAGTTCTACCATATATTTCTATGTATAGAGATAATTTAAAAACAGTGCCATGTTGAATTAAAATAATATATGTGAAATTATTTTTTTACTAGGTGGATTTTTATAATTCGTGTGTATTAATATTGAAATTTCTAAAAATCGGAAGAAAATGGACCAAAATAGTCGTTATGCATCTGAGGGTGGTAAACTTATTCGCCCAATACATGAGTCATACTAAGAATCTCCAAAATTCGGTCAATACCTGTGACGTCATCTGAGTGGATGATGTTATGTGATATTATTTTACTCGGAGTATATTTAATTCTTATTTGGCGATCAAAACATACGATTTCACTTTTTGAGGCCATAACAGAATTTTTATTAAACATGATTTCAATATTTTGGTTTTCATTGTGGTTACCGTCGGTACATCATACTGAATATTTATGTAAATACATCGAAAGTCCGCGAAATTACTGCTGATACATTATTATTGGTAAAGCGTTCGCACACTATACCGACCTTATACATGTGAATTAAGTCACGTAAAGTCTGTTTTGCTCATATTTATTACTAAGTATCATTCTTTCTTTTTTTTTCATTACTAAAAATCATTATAACAGAGTATCACGTACTAACGAATAAAACCTAGCGTGTGTACACACCAACACTTTTCAAGCCAGACGTATTTCCCAGTCGATTATCATTGTGCGATATGTACGTGTGTTTGGCAACCTCACGACACTATTAACATAATATTTTTTAGAGTATTTTAACTTGATCAACGACTATATACATACGGGTAGGTTAGGCTATGTTCGCTAACTACCTGATCAACCCTTAAACGTGACCAAATAATAACTACAACTAACTGTACTACCTTCCTTATGTTTTTTTTTTGCTTTTATAGTTATTACTGAAATATTAAACAAGTAGGTATACTACAAAATTCAAAAGGCAAAACTGTTTGAACTATCACTTGGTTTGAAGAAGGTGAATGACACCTAGTTGCATACCTTTGTGTGTAAAATCCTCTGGATTAGCAGAACTACATAATACAAATCTCTATTTTCTCTCTCAACCCACGATTTGGTCATATGCTGAAGATCTTTTTTGAATATTATGATTTTTTAATTATTACAACATACCATAATGGTACAGCCAATATTATAGTTTTATTGCTATTTTTTTTTTGTTCAAGTCTACAATCATGATCAAATTATTTTTTATTCGCACTTTTTGAATGCCTAATTTTATATTTAAAATTTATTCTAGTAGTTTAATGAACGAATATTGATTTGTATTGATAAATAAAATT